GCTTTTTTAGGGTGTTGTCCAAGACACGAACGGGAACTGCGCCTCGTAGCGCCCGCTGCGGTTCCGCTGCAGGCGCCGGAAGGAGAACGACAGGAACGCCGCGTCTGCGGGGAAAGGGGGTCAGTGCTGCCATTTTGGGGAATTTTTTGGGAGTTTTTTGTGAGTTTTAGGGCGGGTTTTGGGTGAGTTTTGGTGGATTTTTGGGTGATTTTTGGGATTTTTTGTTGTATTTTTGGGCTTTTTTGGTGGATTTTTTTGCAGGTTTTTTCATGGATTTTGGCGGCTTTTTTGAGGGTTTTGTGGGAATTTTTGGTGGATTTTTGGGGTTTTTTTCGGTTTTTTGCGGGTTTTTTTGCGGGTGTTTTCATGGATTTTGGCGGCTTTTTTGAGGGTTTTGTGGGAATTTTTGGTGGATTTTTGGGGTTTTAGGTGGATTTTTGGGTGATTTTTTGGGCGATTTTTGGTGGTTTTTTGGTGGGTTTTTTGGGTTTTTTGTGCTTTTTTTTGGGGTTTTTTTTGTGATTTTTGGTGGTTTTTTGGGTGATTTTTGGGTTTTTTGTGTTTTTTTGGGGGATTGTTGCAGGTTTTTAGATGGATTTTGGCGGGCTTTTTTGGGCTTTTTCTGGTGGTTTTTTGGGGTTTTTTTGGTGGTTTTTTTGGTGATTTTGGGGTGATTTTTGGTGGTTTTCTGGGTGATTTTTGGAGGTTTTTTGGAGTTTTTTGTGATTTTTTGCGGGTTTTTAGATGGATTTTGGCGGCTTTTTTAGGGTGTTGTCCATGACACGAACGGGAACTGCGCCTGGGAGCGCCCGCTGCGGTTCCGCTGCAGGCGCCGGGAGGAGAACGAGAGGAACGCCGCGTCTGCGGGGAAATCGGGGTCAGCAACGGGATTTGGGGAAGTTTTTGGGAGTTTTTGTGATTTTTGGGGGATTTTGGGGATTTTTTGTGGTTTTTGGGGTTTTTTTTGGTGTTTTTTTTATGATTTTTTGTGGGTTTTTAGATGGATTGTGGTGGCTTTTCTTGTGGATTTTTGGAAATTTTTAGGGGTTTTTTGGGGTGTTTTCGGGGTTTTTTTTGGGGTATTTTCACTGTTTCTTAGGAATTTTTTTTGTCATTTTTATGGTGGTTTTTGGGATTTTTTGGGTCTTATTTGGGGTTTTTTCGTGATATTTTGTTGGTTTTGTAGGATTTTATGGTGCGTTTTGGGGATTTTTCTGATGGTTATTTGGTGATTTTTGTGGTTTTTTGTGGTTTTTTTTGGTGTTTATTTGATGATTTTTTGCGGGTTTTTACATGAATTTTGGCGGCTTTTTTTGGGGATTTGTAGAAATTTTTGGGATTTTTTTGG